GAGACGGGTGGAATTCCTATTTCTGTCCCAAGCTTCCTGTTCGACAAAGCCTGGAGGGGCAACTTCACCACACCTTTACTCGTATCAAGCTGCTCTTTTGACAGGGATTTCAGCAAGACTATCTGTAAAGTAAAATGCTAATCGCCATGAGTATGAGACTCGGCTTCTGACCCATAAATGCTCTGTGCCTCAGTTTCCCATCTGTGAAATGGGGATAACAGCACTGCTTTGCTTTGATGGGGAGTTGTGGTGCCAAAGCATCAATGATTGCTCACTGCTCGGACACTCTTGGGCCAGATAAGAACTTGGATCAGTGGGGCAGATCTCCCTCAAAGAAGTGACCATCTAAATCTAAGCTGTGGAATAAGCATCAGAGTATTCACAGCACCCTGAAGTGGATCCCACAGTCGTGTTTCCAGCTACTGGGGTGCCGGTCTGCCTAATGCACAGTACATGCAAAATAACACATGCTCTTACTTGGAAGAGATGGCAAAACTCTAGTCTGGGGAGCTGGAAGAAGCAGCCAGGATTTTTAGTTGCAAACCAATTGTTGAAGCCTTCATCTATGAAACCAAATATAAGTCTATCCCTGTCACGAGGGTGTTGAGATGGTGTTTGGATTGCGTAAGAAGTGTTAAGAAAGAGGAGGTGACTTGGTGGAAAAGAAAAGGTGGAAAACCAACCTGCGTTTTGTAGGACCTGGTGTGGGGTGTGTCCATCAGGTACTGACCTGGCCTTCATCAGCATCCCATGGTCTTTGCTAGCAGCCTCCCATGAGGCTGGGTTTGCACAGCTCGCGGTATGTAATCAGGATGTTTTGGGGAGATGAACCTTTGCCAAACGTACGTGGATCAGTTACAAAACAGAGCATTTTTTTTCCTTTTCCCTACTGGTAAGGAAGAATTTGTGCAGTAATTGCAGGCAGGTTAGGAGATGTTCTCTTCATCATTCCCCTGCTTGTGAAATGTTCCACACACGGGTTACGCAAGCGAGCCAAACAGCTTTGATCATCTTCCACCACCCCCAATTTGTTTCTTGTTTGGTTTGGGTTTGGACCAGGGTTAGGTGAGAACCCACTGGACTGACCCCGCGAGCTCAGCGAACCCCCCCAGCCAGCTAGCGAGGGGACTACCTTTTAATTGCCCTGCCCTTGCTTTTGCACATGGAGCCATTGCCTGAAGGCAACATATTGACAAGGTGGTGAGAACAACTGCATGAGATTTGCAGAAGCAGTTCCTTGTGTTCTCCCCAGCAATTGTCTGACGCACCACTTTGGTGTGTGCAGTGATGTCACCCTCTAGTGGATCACCAAAAAGAAAACAGGTTGATTATCATCTGTCTAGAGAGATCCCCTTTAACTCAACCGGCAGATACCTGCAGAGCTCTAACCCCACCTCCTGCTGTGTGCATGGACATGTTTGCAATAGGCATTTTGTTCCATCTCCTTCCAGGGGTCTCTACCCAGTAAGTACATTCTCGAGATGTTGCTATGCCATCCCCCCAAAACAATGGCATCGTCGTCTTCAATCCAGCACTGGAAGAGGAGATCTACATTCCCTTGGTACCCCCTGGTCCCCATCTGCCTTGATCTCTGCATAACAAAAAAAAATTCCCAGCTCGCTCAATTTTATCATGGATTTCCTGATAAATGGAGCTCTTTTTTTAAAAAAGAAAAAAAAGCTGCAGCTCCTGCAATCAAGCAACATAAAAATCTCTTCCCTTGGTTTGGTGTTTTGTTTTTTCAGTTTTTAGTGAAAGGCAAGTATCTAACCCTCAGAGTGGTGGAGAAAAGATTGCACACATGACTTAGGTGCACTCCCAACCAGCAAATAATCTGCCCCAACAAAGTTTATTACTTTAAAAAAATCATGCTTTTAAGCCAATGTGTGATTTTGAGCGGCCTGGTTCATGGTTCTTGAACATGTAGGTTGGGCAATGCCATAGTTTTCTCTGGAAGAACCAAGGATCATCATAAACATCCCAAACTTTGTGGCTTGGGACACTGCAGTAAAAACAAGGAGGTAGCCACAGGTGGGTGGGTGTAAATTTGAGCCTGATAGCAGTGAAGTAAAGTGCAGCGGAGAAGTATGTGCTGGCTACACCCAAGCCCTCACCCACTTCACAAGAGAAGCCGGAGGATTCCCGGGACCGGGGAACAAGCCGTGAGAGATGTTGTTTATAAACCGAGAACCTGTTTTTTTGCCAAACGCACCTCTCATTCTCATGCTGTGTGGCACTGGGATGCAGCAACACACCCCTTTCTTCCTGGATCACGGCCAGATCTTTCCAGTTGGCAGCTGTAAAAAATTGATTTCAGTTTGGGAATGGCTTGCGCTTCTTCCACACTCGAATCCTGCTGGGATCAGACGTGCAGCAGGAGAGAGCACCTCGGTCTCGGAGAAGCTGGTTGCTTTTCTCCTTGTAAGCGGTTTGGATTGGAATTCCTCGGGCATGTAACCCAGAGAAGTATGAGCACCTTGGCAATTTGCTGGAGTATCGATGGCAAGTAGGCGTAATCTGTGGTTTGGTTTGGTTTGGTTTGGTTTGGTTTGGTTGTCAGTAATTCTTCCAATGGGAAGTTCTCAGAGCATGTGAGAGAGTTTAAGTGCAAGATGGCTCAGAGGTGCGGGACATGGTTTATTCCCAAGGCCTTTCATCTAATGACCACTGACTTAAATGCTGCCCGTGATGGTGGTGACCCCAGCTGCTTACCATCCGGGCTGTAAATGAAATCCCCTTCCTGGGAGCTAGGAAAGGACTGGGATCTCAGCAGATAACGCTCTCTTTGCAAGCAGCTAGTATTGCACAATTTTTCAGCAGCATAGGCGGCTCCAGTACATAACTTTGGAGGGCCCCAATTCAGTTCCCTGTGCCCTGCACTTTTCTGGAGGTAGAAGTTAGCGCTTGCTTTGGCAACCTCCTTCACACTTTGACTCTGAGACGCACATCAGGCTCTTTCTTCCTCTCTCTCGTGGAAATTTGTTCTTTCATTGTTTTCCTCAACCTTCAAGAGAAGTCCTTTCAACTGAAAATCCATGTCTTGTGTGTCACTTGCAGGAAAACCTCTGCTCCTTGTCTCCCTCTGCTAACAGGAGGTTTTGCTTCCCACCGTGTCCACAAGCCTCCCTAGACACTAGCACAAGAATCTGCTTTGTTTGTTCAGTGATATTGGGTGCCAAAGCAAACTGCCGCAAGTAGAAAGATCCAGCCCATTGGTTTCTAATAGAGACTTTGCAGCTCTATTTCAGAATAACTGGTCAGTAATATAGCTGAGGGGGGTGATCAGGGACTGCCTGTAGGAAGGGCATGAATGTAGCCAGCTGCAGTGGCAGCTAGACATGCCATCATTTTTGGCACTGCAGCTGTTACAGCTGCCCCAAGCACAGACCTGCCCTGCTAGGCCTCTGCTAGTGTGCCTCTGTCCCTCTTTGTATATGGAGAGTTGTACAAATGAAGCCTGAAGTGGAAACTCCTCTGGTTTGGGGAAAGATTAGACCAAGACTGGATGGTCAGAGGGAGTCCCAAATCCAAGCACCTTCCAACATGGGGACAGTTTGGAGCTGGGCTAGGTTTTTAGCTGCCTGCACCCATCTCTAGCTGTGATCTTTTAGGTGAGAGCTCGAGTCTTCCCTCTGCAGGGTATATTCCTCTCCACTGAGCGCATCTGACGTTAACCTGATATTGCACTTGAGCTTAGTTGAAGGTTTTTAATAACTAAATTGCAAACTCACCAGGTGTCCCAAGCCAGAACCTACTCCTGTCTCTCCTATTCCTTGCAGCCTCCCATGGCTCCATGCGAGTTTTCCTTTCCCTTGGCTCCCCACACCACAAGCCCACTGCCCGTCCTATGGGAGCTACCTGCCTTAGCAATTAATTGTACCCAATACAAGAAGATGCAATAGGGTATGCCTTGCTATGGAGCAGAAATGTTAACAGTTAATGTGGAGATCAGTGCATAAGGCAAGTGTTAAGGGCCAGTTTCAATCTGTGGCCAGTAGGGAATTTGGACCATCAGACATTATAGTCTTAGGCCTTCCTTCTGCTTTAAAATGCTTTAGTAGGAGCAGACCCAAAGGGTTATTCTAAATCTGTTTGTAAAACAGACTCTCTTGATGCCTTTGCCTTGCTTTGCCAAATTAGTTCTCGTGTCATCTTGAGTCACTGTGGTTAAAGATGGGCAAGTAGCTTTGGTGGTTGAGCCAGTGCACTGTCAAGGCTAGGTGCTACTCCTTCACTCCTCTTGCCCTCCCTTTAGCAAAACCAGGAGGCCAGATGCAGTCAGTAAGGTAACAGAGTGGGTTTGTGACGGTTCCTAGAAGGTGAATTAGTGACTCTCCGGTTTCGGTGTACTTCTTGGTTTAATGCTTCGCCCTTCTGGGGCTTTTCTTCCAAGGTCCACAAAAGGTTTTAAGGTTCTGATTCAGCAAAGATCTTAAGTGCACACTTAAACTTAAGCACCACTCAAGTCAGCCAGGCTTGAGCAGTTCTTAGGTGCTTAAATTACATGCCCTTAATTAAACATGTATCCGGGTTGTAGCCGTATTGGTCTAGAGGAAAAAGCAATCAGACATCTTTTATTAGACCAACAAGATATCGTAAAAAAAAAAAAAAAAGATTTAATTAATTCAATTAAAGATTGTATATTTCTGCAAAAATCTTGTTGGTCTAATAAAAGATATCATCTCTGTCCACGAGCCCTGATTGCTTAATTAAGCAAGCTTTCATGCCCTTGCTTGTTAAGCAGGACTATCTCCACTTTCCTGATGAGGAAGCAGAAATACAGAGGGGGATAGTGACTTGTCCAAAGTACAAATTGCTACAGAGCCAAGGATAGAGCCCAGGAGCCCAAACCCACCTCGCTGTGATGAGCAGAGGGGATCTCCGCCCCTGCCAGTCCTGGCTTCTCAACCTGCTGATATCCTGAATCTCCCAGCTTCCTCTGACTTTATGTCATCCATATGCCCTCCGTGCTGATACAGCTCTTCTGCTCTCCACTGCAGATTAAAACTGAAGATCTCAGTGATTCCTTGCAATCAACCATACCCCCCAGATCAAGTCCCTTTGTACAAGGACCTTCAGTGATGCCTGGAAGCCAAATAGCAGGGGTAAGTGATCCAGCCTCTCTGAGAATTGCAGCAGTCCCTAGTGGCATGGGGCCTGGGGCATTCATTTGTCACAGCAGTCTAGCAGAAGCCCTGGCCAGTCCAGAGACACCTCTTGGGAGGAGGAGAGTGAAGAAAATGATGGCTCCGGAGCCAGGTAGCATAAATCAGATTCAATCTACTTGGCACAGGTCAGATTCTTCCCTGGGGTAACTCCATGGACACATGCCAATCTACACCAGGGATGAAATGCATTCCTTGGCAGCGATTCGCAAAGGCATAAATAGCATGTAGGTGCCTGACTTGTGCTTATTAATGTCCAATCAGAATTAGATGCCTACATGCCACTTGTGCCCTTGAAAACCTCCCTCTTATCCCTGCCCCTGAGATGTGTGCTCAGTTCATCCCCTTTGTGGTGCCCGGACCTCAAGACAGAGCTCAAGTGCCAGATTTTTAAGAGTTGGTCGTGCTACGTGCTGAGCGCCTTTGAAATTCTGGCCCCAATGGTAGGTGCTGAGCACTTGAATAGCTGACCCTATTGGCGCAGACGGAAGCGACATTTGTCAAGCAGTCGGCCCCTTGAAAGCACTCTACATCCATGGCCTAACAGAAGAGCACAGCTGCAAGGTGCTTTAAAAGTCCCTGATCACATGACAAATTAACCCCCATTACATGAGGATTCAGATGAAGGTGGTCCAAAGTGCAGCACCTTCATTAATTTCTGGCTGGTCAGGTAGCTGGGCTGATGTGGTCTGGCCCTGTCCCTAGTGCTGCCTGCCGGATGGGAGGGTGGGAGAACGGAGGGGAAGGAGCTTGGGCTGGGGTTTGCCCAGCCGGTGCTAGAGTAGGGGGGCAGGTAGATTGGAGGCCCCTTGCCTGGGGGGGGCTTCAAACCACCTGCTTCCACTCCAACTGATTCACAATAATAAACTCTGGCGCCTATCATGCTGAAGTTTATTGCTCCTGGGCACCACGTTACAACATACACCCAGGACCACAGCACATTGAGCCAGGTTGGAGCAGCCCCAGCTGGCAGAGGGCCCAGGGGGATCATCCTGCCAGCCTAGGGCTGCTCCGACCTGGCTCAACGAGCTGCAGAGGGGATAGCTGGGGCACGAGGGTGCTACAGTGCGGGGGCTAGCCAGCAGGCAGCCCCTGTGTTGAAGCGTCCTTGTGCCCCAGCCAGCCCCACCAGCATGTACACATGTGTTGCTGCACAGTAAATTATTCCACAGCAGGATAGTACTTGTACTTATAAGTATGATCCTACAGCAGATTGGACTAGTTTACTGCAGCCTAATAAGGCCACATGTGTAGATGTGGAGACTTTACTGCAGAGCTAATTAGGCAGCTCCACAGTAAATGTCTCATGTAGATGCACCCAGCAAGGAATTTTTACTTCTCATGCAACATGTAGCCAGAATACCTGATGGTCAGGGAGATGTATCCATCAGACTGTGCTGCTTCTGCAGAGAAGCTGGTCCAGCTGGGCTCTGCGTTGTCTCTGTTTCTCCATGGAGTTGGTCAGGACATGCAATGAGGCTGCTCCAATGTGCTGTAATTATAATGCATGGGAGCAGACTCGATTAATTGATTCTCCTGGAGAGTGGCAATTACCGCTCTCCAGCAGACTCCAGTATCTTGTGTATCAGCATCCCCATGCTGAAAAATGGTGGCAGGGATGCTTTAACTAAAGCGGTTCGACCAGCTTTACTTAAAGCACACCCACCACCACTTTTCAGTGCAGGGACGCTAATACACGAGATGCTTTGGGTGCTTTAATTAAAGCAGCTCTCGGAGTCACTCTAATTAAAGTGCCCCTTCTCCTCACTCCTGGGGCATGTGAATAAATGCCCGAAGTGAGATTCCTGCGTCTGCACAAATCTTTGGGGATGGGGGAGGGACTTGACATTTTTCTTGGAGTTTTATACATTTTGTCAAAAGACCTGAAAGGCCCAAAGCAGAATTCTGGGGGGAGCGAAGAGAAGGAGGCAACAACTGACACCCCAGAGTTTTCAGCTGCAAAGTTTCAGCAGCCCAAACCCCAAAATTTATGTATTCTTTGATGTGGAAAATGGGTGCTTTTCCATGCAGACGTCATTGTCCTCCATGCAAATGCCCTTTTTTAGTTGTTGGGAGGAATAAAGCATAGATGAGAAACACTGGAGCCACTCTATTTCTGGGGCTGTGAGGTGCATGTGTGACCTGCGCGCTGGGTTGAGGCTTGAGGGAAGCAGGGAGGTGGGGAGGTGGCAGGTACCGCATGCAGCTGCAGGGAGTTGATGGCACGTGTGAAGAAGAGACTCATCTGATCAGCACTGGTCCTCCTGCATTTCTCCTTTAGGACATGAATTCTCTTCACACCCTGCAGCAGCTGGTCCTTCTCCCTGGTCATGTGCAGTCGGTTCCTCAGTTCCTGCTCTCGCAGACCCAGGCTGGGCAACAAGGTAATAGCAGAGATCACTCGTTTAACAGCAACCCTTGACATGGGGGCAGTCGCAAGTACAATGCAAGAACCGTGCCGTTCTCCTAGGACACTGGTCGCTCAGCAGCCTCACTCCAGCGCAGCCAGTGAAGTCGCTCCAGGTCTAGCCAGTGCAACTGGGAGCAGAATCTGGTTCACTCTCATCTTCCTACTGCTCCTGCCTGCCTGTCCTCTCACTCTCTGCCAGTCGGTTCCCTCACCCGGATGTGCCTGAAGCCACCCCCATGCAAAGCAGCTAGGAAGAACCAGCCAAAAACAAAACCTCGCCAAACTGAACCACCAGGTCAGGATCCTCCTGCTCACTAGGCTTGTGCCCAGAGAGATGCTCCCACAGCTGTTTGCACGCTGCAATAGCTCCACCAAGGGGCTTCCTGGGGTAACCTCAGGCTTGCCTCTCAGCCACGTCTTTCCAGTTGCCATTGAAATTCAGAGCAGCCTCTGGTTGGGCTAGTCTGAAGCAGGATTACACTGAAAAACCCAGGAGTCTAATCCTTCTGCAGAACCCGCTTTGCCTCCAGACTGCATTGTATTAATATTGCAGCATTGCGTGGAAGAGCTGTGTTTGCTCTCTATAAATACGGCAGGGAAGTAAACACCAGGGAGGGAAAAGACTGATTTCCACTAAAAAACAATGTTAGCGGAAAAACAAACGGGCACAGACTAGCCTGGAATAAATTGAGGGTGAAACTGAGAAGAAAGGTTTTCACCATTGCGGGAACAATGTTCCAGAACGGCTTAGCTTTAGGATGGAGTGGGCCAGTTTCTGAAAAGGGGGGTCTGATGTGGTAGCTTGTGATACCACGGGCTGGATTTGATGATCCAGGAAATTCCTTGCTGTCCTACACTCCCGTGTTTAGATGGAATTGTTTTAAGGGAGTTTCTCAAATGATGAGAGGTCGGCACTCCCTGTGAGTTATGTTAATGTTGGTGCTGAACCTATAATCAAGCAAGCGTGGAGAGACCTTCAGACCCTGCTTTCAACCCCTCCTGCTTTCAGAAGGCCTCAAGGTCTCTCTTTATGGACACATTGCAGGATATGGTCCATAAAACGTGCAACATTATAATAGCTCTGGATGAGCCTGGTAATGTAGTCACGTTGTCTGGAGACTATCCATCCCGGATGGTGTTGATGCTATTGAGTGATGCATCAAAAAAGTTTTGATATACACTTAGGCAGACAAGGTTCCTTGGGTGAATTTGATATCTTTTATTAGACCAACCCAAATAGTTGGAGAATAGTTATTAAGCAAGCTTTCGGGTTCAAAAACCCTTCGTCAGGCTAAGGAAGTTTCAGCAGTTGGTGTGTGCTCTTTCTGGATGTACACTTAAGCATTTACCTATCAAATTAAGTGTCCCTAACTGCTGGGGTGTGGCTAATCTATCATTAAAGCCCTGGCTCTTGCTACCAATGTTGTCATCCAAAATGAGAAAAGCATCCTGCTGGAATGACCTTCACTCCTGCCATGTAGACCCTCTGCCGGGTAGCTATCCTTAGAAGCTGAACCCTGCAGTCCAACAACCTGGAGCCCTGGGGCCAATCCTGAACCCCTCTTCCCTGGTAATTGAAGCCCATCATTCCCAGAGCTGTACTCATACAGCACTTGCACACCTTATACCTTGCACACATGTAGATGCAAACCTTGCAGGGCTCCAGTATGCAGGGCTCCTTCATGGTTTACATAGCACAAGAAATTCAGGTCCTCCGTCAAGAAGAAATGCCTGTACACTGCTCCCTGCCTCTGTTTCTGCAACAGTCTTCATAGTCTTTGGGATTTGGTCACAGTCCTTGAGGGTGTCCAAGATTTGTTCTTCCCCCCTTCTTTTCCCTGTACGGCCTTGCCTTCTAGGTCTAGTCTCTTCTTTAAAATGGCTGGTGAGACCCGTCCTTCTAAAGACCTCCAGCCCATTCATGAGGCAAGTTTTTTGGTCAGCCACAGCCTCCCATCTTGTGTAGTTGAAGTCCAGACTTCAAAACCCGCTTTGCTTTAGCAGTAGCTAGCTTTTTGGACAAAGCATACTTACCTCTTAATAGAAAATCATCATGATTGAATGACCCTCTATTGTTAGCCCTCTGCTACTTGTAAGAAGGACCTCTTCTGACACCACCTTTGTGCTTCATCTGAATATGGAGGTTAAAGAGTGAAGGTCTTGTCCATCAAACAGAGGCAAAGAAAGAAAAAATGGGGTTGCAGCTTGATATAGGTGCATGCAAAGAGCTCCCAATCTCAAATAGATGTTTTTTAAATCTACATTGACCTTTTCCTATGACCAGTCACAAAAACACCTGATATGAGGGACCATCAGCATGGCAAAATGGACCGTTATGATGCCCTAGCTGACCACTTTCAAAAGATAGGCTAGAGACTTTTACCCAGGGATCCTTGAAGCCAGCCCCTACTCCTTTCATTTGAGCAAGATACATTTCACAAAGACATTTTAGACTTGATTTTAAATAGTTCAAGAAATGGAGAAACTTTGCATCCTGAGAAAGTTGCTCCAATGAATAATTCTCTTCCCTGTTAAAAGTGTGCCCTTTATTTCTCGCTCAGATTTGAAATTCAAAATGACTCCAGTGTCAAAGGAAATCATTTTTTAAAGAGAAATATCAAGGTGAATAAATGGGATATGGCACATTCAGTTTAGAATAAAAGGATTGTTGAAATTTATTTTTATTTAACAAAATTCATGTATTTTCTATAGGGTTCAGTTCTAAATCAATAACAGGGATATAATTCTCTGTTGGGTTCCATAGAAATGACTTTAGAAAGGCTCCAAGGCCCCTCCAGAAAGGCTATAATTCTCTAATAAATTCTCTGGGTTTCAAAAGTAATGTCCCTAGAACTTTACTAAATTTTTGGCAAACCATATCGCTTCGACCTGGGTTAAATCCTGTAGGACTTTTCCATCGGAGATATAGACATTCATCCGGCAGTTTATCAGCTAAGCAATTACATGGACCCCATAAATACCACTTTTTGTTAGTTTTATAGATTTTCGGCTTTCTTTCATCATTTTGGATTGTTTTATGTATTTGAGGAGAAATGCAATTTATTTGAAATACAGTAGAATAAAAAAGGAAAGGGTAAAGTAGCTTAAGATACACTTCATTAATGAAATTTATAACCGAAAGCATAAAGGGAATAACTATAGGATTTTGATTTTAAAAAAAATCCAGTGGCTGCAAGTTGAAGTCTGTAAAGCTCATATTGGAAATAGGAGGCAAAATTGGAGTAGGGAATATAATTAACATTCAGAGAAGTAAGATATATGCTGCTTTACTCAGCATCCTTTAAATAAAAATGTGGTGGTTTTTTAAAAGCTCTGCTTTATTTCACCTCTGGTTTGGTGAGCTAGATGCATGATTACTGGGCGAGCTGTTTTACCTGTATTGTCATCAAAATGGCTTTTTCTGGCCGCTCAGCCTATAAAAGGAGTCTCACTTCTGATTCACCAACTCGGATCCAGCTAAATTGGCTATGATTGAAGGTCTGTTACATTCAACCTAGAACTGCTCAAAACTTCCAGTCCAAACTTCCTTAGACAAAACTGGCCTTTTGTCGAAGCCAAAGAATTTTTCAATCATTTGAAATTCTCCATTTAGTCGTCAAAAAAAACCCAAAACAAAACAAAAAAGCCACTATAAATTGTTTCAAAGTTTAATTTTATTTTTTTCTCTGTTTTTCCCTCTGCTACTGAAAACAACAGAAAGCTGTTCAGGATTTGATTTTCCTTCACCTTTTCTCCCCGTTTCCCTGCCCCAGCTTTGGTCGCTGGATAGCTTTTGAAGCAGGTTTAAAAAAAAAAAAATGACCACGTGGGGAAAAAACAACTGAAAATGTGTGCGCACACGTGTGCTTATGTGGGTGTCCTGCCTCTCTTTGTAAATTATGTAGCATCCTGAATGTGCTGGAGGGTGTTTACACATCAGATAAGATGATCATCTCCCTGCCCTACAGAGCTTCACAGTCGCATGTCAGAGGTGATTAATGGGCTATTTAACAGGCGGGGGACAGGAGATATAGGACAGTGAATAAGACAGGTGAGCAGTAATTGAGTCATGGTTTGCATATGCAATAACCCTTTCCCCTTCATCCCCTCCTGCCCAAGTGTTTGAACTGAAGACCTTCTGCACCAAAGCACAGACTTCAACCACTATCTAGCCATGGTATTGCTAAGGGCTTGTCTATGCTGCCAGTGGTTGAGGAGTCAAGAAGAGACAACTAGGACGCGTCCAGAGCTTCCCACTCTGGAGCACCTCAGTAGGCTTGGGTGTTCACTCCTGTCTTCCCTAGGACCCCCCACTGACATGCTATGGATGGGGCATAAAGTTTTCCCATCCCCGCTGCACCCCATAAAGCATGCAATGGATCCTCCCCTGTGGCTCCTGGTGATCTGGCAATGCAACTCATTTTAGATGCTTACAGGGATGACCTGATCCATCTCTTTCTCTCTCACCAGCTCTGCAGCCAAGCCTTCTCTCCTACCAGCAGCAGCAAAGCAGCCTCATCCTCTCGCAGCCTGGGCCCAGCCTCGCCTCGCAGGTAATTGCATCCCCACACCCTCAGCCAGGAGTAGAATTGAATTCACCCCAAGGGCCACGTCACCAAATACCTAGGAGCCCCGGATTTGAATCATCAGATGAAGCTAATTGCAACCCAAGCTGGGGCAATGCAGGCTTGTCCCTCATTGGTCTCCACTCCCCACTTCTGGGGGGTGAGAGGCACTTCCTCCCTGAACTCCCTTCTGTCCTTGGCAGTGGGGAGCCATCAGGGCCCTTTGGTGGCTGGTGATTTCTGGACTGTCAAACACTCTGTTCCCTTCACACCTTACACCACAACTCCCCTTTTATGCCCTTCTCCCACTACGAGCCCTTTCAAACTGTGCTGAAGCCTGGCATTACTCTGTTGGCCCTTTCCTCAATGAGACCCTCTATTTCAAAAGCAGCTACTAACTCCTCTTCCCTAGATCCAAGGTGCTCACTGCATCCCTGTGCAGTCACGACTGCAGTCACTGCACCTGTGCTGGCCTCCGCTGCTCATTCCCATTGTGCCTTGTTGTCAGCCCGTCTTTTTCTTCACCGTTTTCTGCTGCCTGCCTCACCCAGGGGCAAAGACAGGATCTTTACAATCCCCAAGGCATTTCTGCCCTGCATTGCCTTGGGCTCTGATGGCTTCTTGATTGCAGAAGTGGCTTTGGCTCGTTCGTACTTGTGGGTTCCAGGCACAGCAGTCTTCCACAGACGGGTTTCCATCTCACCTCCCCTGCTTCCCCCTCATGCAAGGTCCCTAGAGTTTGGAAGGGAATTGGCTTCAGTTGCTGTGTCAGATCCACCAGGTAGCTACACTCCACAATATAGCTTTGGAGGAGCTGTATTTCAGTGCCTGAACCTGCCCAGTGGGCCAAAAACTTCCATAAGAATATGACAAACTCTCTAGGACTGCACTTCCCGTGCCTCACACACACCTGTCAAGCAGAGCTGAGAGACCCCCTTCTTCTTCCATCCAGCCCTTTGCCTCACATGCACCTGTGAAGATCATAGTCCCCTCCACCAACTTGCAGCCACCTCTGGTGGAGGAAGCAACTCCTGGTTAACAGCACATAACAGCATTAAGCAATGACTGAGTGGAAGAGATGCAGACCTTTGTTCAGGTTTTTTCTTATCATGACTCTCTTCTTAACAGGCAGTGGGACGTTCGGGGCTCCCTGGGTCCTCAGTTGAATCCCACCTGGACGTGTCCCAGCACTTGCAGGTTGCAAAGCACTTGCCATCCTCAGCCACATGCGATGAACCTAGTGACCTGGAGGAGCTAGAAAAGTTTGCTAAGACTTTCAAGCAAAGGCGAATCAAGCTCGGGTTCACGCAGGTGAGGGACGAACAGCGGTCTCTTGGGAAAGGGCTTAGTATGAGATGGTTGGGATTTGATACTGATGTTGGGAGGGAGGATTTGATACCGATGCGCACACAAAAGGGAAGGGGAAGGGGTCAGCACAGATGTGGGGATGGAGGAAGGGATGGGTATGAGACAGGCGTGCTTCCTGGGAATACCACCTGGAAAGCACAGGGAGGAACGACTGTAGAAAGGCCACAGCCTGTCTGTGGGTCAGTCTCCAGCTGTGGAAGAGACCGAGGGCTCTCAGGCAAGTGGGCCAAGGATCTGGAGGCATTGCCAATGGAGAAACAACCGAGCATGAGCTGATGCCAAGGTGGGAGGCTGCGAGTGGGTTTTCTCAGCTACTCTATCAGTTCTGGTTGCCTTGGCAGGGCGACGTCGGACTGGCCATGGGGAAGCTGTATGGCAATGATTTCAGCCAGACCACCATTTCGCGCTTTGAGGCACTCAACCTGAGCTTTAAGAACATGTGCAAGCTCAAACCCCTGCTGGAGAAGTGGCTGAGCGATGCAGGTAGGCCACACCGTGCTGCTCTGCTATAATGGCCAGTGCAATGGGGGGCTGAATGGGGCCTCTGAAGATAAGAGCTAGAGCTGCACCCACAGCTTGGGACAGTACCGCCACTTCTGTCCCCCGTGGCACAGTGGGAGACTGGAAACACACTCACTGGGGGTCACACTTGCTCTATTCCTGGTTCTGCCACTTACCAGGAAAGCTAGCTGGCTGCTCTGTGCTTCACTTTCTTCAGCTGTGACTTGGGGATACCTGCAACTATCTAGCCCTTTGGCAAAGTGCTCTGTGATATGGCAGTTTTAGGAGGAGCACGTCCTTTAGGATGTAAAGGGGGATCTCCGCTAGTGGCACAGCAGAAGTCTGCAAGTTGGTTACCCCTCGGGGCTGCAAGCCGTTGGGGAACGTCATGGCCCCGTGCGCTTGACCAGCACCTCGTTCGGTCTATTCACCGCGACACAAGCTGGCGTGAAGCAGCAGAGCTCCACTGACTTCCACCAGTGAAAACACCTGAGAATTTGGCCCTTGAGGGAGATTGTTGGGTTAAAAACTGAAATGAACATCTGTAATTCCAAGGGCAAAAGCCTCACGGACTCTCCCTCCTCCCTCTCTCCTCAGAATCTGCTCCGCTGGACTCCTCCATGAGCACCCCCAGCTCCTACCCCTTGGTGAGCGAGATGTTTGGGCGGAAAAGGAAGAAACGCACCAGCATTGAGACCAACATTCGCTCCACGCTGGAGAAGAGGTTTCAAGATGTGAGAGGAAAATCTTGGCATGGGTTATGACCTGTATTCCCCAGGTGGAAATCCCTGCCGGGTCTTAGCTGCAGCCATGAGGCCTCCAAAAGGAGAAGGGAGGGAATCTGCTTTGGAAGGGAAGCGGGGTTTATTGCAGCTTGTAGTTGCATGGTATTTTACTTTTCCACAGAAAAAAATGACCTTTTGCTGAAAAATGGAAAGAGAATATTTCAGCTTGGACACACAGCTGCAGCGCCTCAGGGGGCTGTCTTGGGGTGCATTGGTCCCTCTTCAGGAGATGGGTTTCCCTGGGCACGTCTACAGATTCATTAATGTGTTATAGTTATTGTGCATTAAGTTTAGTACTTGGTTAACCAAGTACTAAATCAATGTGCAGTAACTCACACTACCACGCAGTAATGCTGGTGCATGGGTTTTTAGTGATGCTTACTGTGCAGTAGCGTATTAGCACAGTTTTTGCCCAACATGCTATTGCACAGTGTTATTAGGCTACTGCGCAGTTGGTGTCTCATGTAGACACCCCCCCGATCAGAATAGGTTCCCGCAGTGCACTGCTTTATCTCCTCCGGCAGTCTTACAGCTGCCTTGTGACCTACAAGGGGGTGGTCAAGCTGGGGAGCGCTGCCTCCAGACAGGAGTAGAAGCATGCAAGACCATGGCAGCGATTCAGAATAGACTATCTTGGTTCTCCAGCATTCAGATGCTCCAAAAAAGAAAAGAAACGATGTTTTTGGTGGAAGGCAGGCACCTCTCACTCACTCTGGTGGCTCAAATGCCATTTTTCATTGACAAATCTGTTCTGGTGGAACATTTTCCAACCAGCCCTCGCTACTACCCTGGCCCAGTCCCATGTCTGATCCCATTCGACTGATTCTCCCCACTTGCTGATGCTGCAACATCATCTCTCCAAGGTTATCTTTGTTAACCTAACGCCCTCTCTTAGCAGAACCCCAAGCCCAGCTCAGAGGAGATCTCCCTGATAGCAGAGCAGCTCTCCATGGAAAAGGAAGTGGTTCGGGTTTGGTTCTGTAACCGGCGCCAGAAGGAGAAGCGGATCAGCTGCCCGATGCCATCCCCCATTAAATCTCCCATCTACAACTCCAGACTGGTGAGATCCATTGGGCCAAGGCATGGGGGTCAGGGGGTTCCCCGTTACTGTCTGTGAAGCAGGAAGTACCATAGAGTAATAAGGAAATGGGTCTTCTTGCAGTGGAGATCATCTCTGAACTGTCCACAGTGCAGAGGGTGCAAGCACTGTGCAGTAGATTAGAAAAGGGAGCAAAGAACCTTATGGGTCATGGATGCCCAAGGACCCAGTGGGCAGGGCTTCCTTCCCTTTTAACTGCATCCAAAAATACGGTGCTTCTGCCAGCGGGAGCTCCCTGGGGCACTAGCCCGATTCACTGGGCTGAGCACTGCCTGCTGAATCATCCCCTCCACTTCCTGCATGGCAATACCTTCTCATCAGGGCTTCAGTTTGGTACCAACACAGGGAAAACAGCACTGTTCTCTGAGTCACCCCATCTCCTCCCATGCACGCCCTGAGGCAAATGAGCAGGGAACTGGGTGGAGATGCTGTTGAGGGGGTAGATTGAGACCTTGCGCTGGTCTCATAGCTTGGTCCACCTCTGTAGAATATACACTTCTGTTCGCCTTTTCTTTGATTTTTAATCAAGCATCAGCTTCTCAGTGGGTGTAAATCAGCCTAGACTTATTCTCTGAGGGTCTGACCCCAAGCTTCGATCCCTTAACGTTGCACAGAAAAACTGTTAAATATTAGTAGAAGCTGGTTCTTGAAGGTGTGGGCTGCCTCCACTCAGTAGGTTGACTCTTCTTTCCTATGGTTGACTTGGAGCAACAATTATAAATCCAGTTTAAGGTTAGTTAACCAGTCTAATGCTCTTGAGGAAAGGGAATGTATCTCGGCAATATCACCATCAAATTCGTATAGAGGGCATGGTGTTGTTATATGGTCCATAGTTTGATCAGCATTGTCACAGTCTGAAGCCTAGTGATGTTGACTCTGAAGCCTAGTGATGACCATTGTAGTTTCAATGCTGGCCACCAGCTCACCTCACAATATTTGAGATGAAGCAGTGATCTGCTCTGGGATACTGGGTTGAGTCTGGGATTTTGGGCAAAACCTAAGTCCAATACTATCCCTTCTCCCCTTACCCTCCTGCAGAATAAAGTGGTGAGAGTCAGAGAATTTACTGTCATGGAAGAAGGGAAAGGGCTGCATAGATGAAGGACATAATGGACTTGTTTTTACTAGGAAGTAAGGCTGTAATAGAGCACAACCCTGAGGAGTTGTATTATCTAATTCAGTGTTAAACATGACTTTGCAATCAGTTAAAATGGGGGGAAATCCTATTTAACAATGACAGTTAGACCTAGATAAATCTACTGGGAAATATAGGATTAAAAATATCCAGCTCCCACCATCTCAAACCCAGTATGCAGCACACGGACCTCTGTCATGTGTTAATATGTTACTTAAATGACACTCCAGAGGCCTGTTCTCATCTGAATGGGCAATGCAAACTATAAAACGGGTTCAAGTGGCTCCCCTTTCTTTCTGCCCTGGTCCAAGAGATCATTAAGACCATGCTTAACTCAACCGAATTCACTTAAGCAGGTGCTTTTTGCTAATTCTGAGAACAAAAAGCCACATCCCCGAAACTCCACGCACCTTTCCAGAGCGGTGTTGCAATCCCGAACTGGAGAGGTGTTTGTTCCTCCTCTGGGTGGATGGTGATGCCAGGGGAGTGGTCTGCAGTCTCACTGCTTAACAAAAGTTGCCATCTCAACTGGGGTGCCCTGAACATCAAAGGGCAGCTGCCTGTTTTTCCACCCACGAGCATCAGGCAGTTGCTTGTTAAGGCAGGTCCGTAGTTTGCTGAGACTCTAATAGATGTGTTGAGTGTTTGGGGTGAACGCTGCTGCAGAAGCATCTGCAGACGTTCTTCCCATGAATACTCACTGACAACATCATATGCTGCTGCTGTTTGTTGCCCAAAAGGCATTTTTTGTTGGCAAGAGTCACTGTGGACAGGGTCACCTCTATTCATGCAATGGTGTATGGAACCCTATAGCAGCGTGGGCGTTGTGAGTAACAGCCTGCTGCTGGCTAACAGACTTGACATAGTAGGAGCCTGGCTGCAGTATTGCAGGCACCGAAGGTTCATATGCTATAGGAGGGAAGGGCGTATCTGTGCATATTCATAAGGGATGCTTCTGTCTTGAAATCAGGCTGTCTTCTGTTGGAGTGAGTCCTCCAAGCGGTAGGTTTGGTGAAGTTCTTGCACAAAGGCCTTAGCTGTAGTGCGATCTCATGAGCTATTCATCATCCGTTCTCAACAAGTTGCTGTGTGTACTTATTTAGATGTAAACAAATCAGAACCAGAGAGAAAGGCCTATTAGAAACCCAGACATCCCCTAATTAAAGAGACAAAAAGAAGAATTGGCAGCAAAAGCAGCCAACAACAAGTTCTGCAAAGAAGCAAAGTAAGAAAGGCTGCAAGGGAGGAGGCCAAGATCGTACGAGTAGTTTGGGGGCCTCTGTTCATGTGAGTCCAACCTGAGACCACTGGAAAGGCCCTGGCTGTCACAGGCCAGGGGAACAACAGCTTTGTAAATCTTGAATCAAGACCGTGCATCTCTGTCTCTTTGCAGATAAAATACTCATGGTGAAATGGAGCCCCTTGCAGAAGAGTTTAGTGGTGCAAAGTCTCCTGTATCCACAGGCAGAAAAGTATGACTGGCATTGTCTAGTTACAGACTAGGAATAGCTCACCAGTTTTGGACTGCTCATTTCTTCTTGCTCTGCCAGGATCCTGTGTGCTCAGAATCATTTACTGTTTCAGGGGTGGGCACCGTGCACCATGGGTGCTGCAAGTGACGTGGGCAGCAGATTGGGAAGGGCAGGGAGCAGAAAGCAGAGCAGCAGGTTGGGCAGGGAAAGGGGTGGCACTTGTGGAGGAAATGGGGCTAAAAAAGTTGCCCCCCCTGAACCCATGCCCCCCCTTTATTAATAATCTCGAGGTGTCCAGACAGCTGGGGTGGATGTCAGATGAGCACCATCATGGATTTTGCTGTTGCAGTTTGAAGCAAATGGATGAAATTTCGCAGGACCAAGGGATGCCTTTCCAGTCTCATTATAGCACTTCACATTCAAGCATTTTTGTAAAGAGGAGAAGCTAATTGGTCCTTGTCTAGAGGTGTATGCAGCCTGTTACAACCAGAGGCTGGGAGTCGCACTGATTAGGGGGTACTCTAGTTATGCCAGGCGAGGTGGTAAGAGTGCTTGTCCTCTAGAAAAAGGGCAGAACATTTCTCACGCTAAGTCAACTTAAAATAAATCCTCCCCTAAGCTTTCCTCAGCCAGGCAAGCAGTCACCCTAGTTCACACAGCAATGGCAGGTGCTTGTGAATGAGGGGGGAGCCGCTCCCAAGGATGGCTTTTGGGAGAGGGGACACGGCTTGTGTATTAAGAAGTGCTCCACACACTGAGAACCCTGCCTTACAGACTGCAGGTTGCACCCGTCTGCTCTTGCACTATGGGAAGAGTGTGTGTGTGTGTGTGTGTGTGTTTGTGTGTGTGTGGGGGGGGGGTACAACAGGATCAGTGTCTGCACATGTGCAATCTAGTGGCAAGGTTGGCTGTATCCCGTGTTACACAAGGAGCCGTCCATATGAGTCTCAGCTCTACGTGGACGAGAGATCTGTATGGGGGCGTGCAGGATGCAAAGGGCCTCCCATGGGAAGAGGAAGGGAGCAGTGCTCCAGGATCTCTGTTCTTCCCAAGTCACTGATTGACTCAGTTTTTGTTCCCTTTCAGGTCTCTACCTCAGGGTCCCTGGGACCTCCCTCAGTCAACCCAGTCCATAGCACCATGCCAGGGGCAGGTAAGCCTAGCAGGCAGGAAGATACCTCTCCTATTTCCTTCATGGGAACCACACTCCCTTTCGCTCTTTCATCTATCAGTGCTGAGGACTTGGTTTAGCTCTGAGAGCTGCTCAAGTTCCAGCATCCTCACGCCATATGAGATGGGACTTTGGTCTGGCCCTGACTGGTTGCTCAGTGTGGCCAAGTTCAAGGTCAAAGACAGCAAAGGGTAAAATCTGCATCCTCCCTCTGGCCAACCTGAGGACAGTCCCCTCACTAGAATAGCTTTTCCTTTAAGATCCCAAGCAGATATTTATGGCTGGGACCAAGGCAGAATCCTGTAATCAAATGACCCTCATAGTTGGGGGGAGTTGGCCCTGGATCTACAAGTCCAAGCCTATCTCTGTTAGGACTGATCTGCTCCAGCTTGGGGTTCATTACAATTCCTTCCTTGCCCATTCTTTTACTTCCTTCACTGCCTTCCCTTCTTGCTGTTCTCTCATTCACCTGCCCCATTTATGCCTCCTATGGTTACCATAAGGCTTTGGACTGGAAACACATGCCCTGGACTGGGGGTCTGTGGAGGAGAACGCCGATGTTTCTGGAGCTGGCAGATCTCATGCTGAAGGGACCGTCTGCTCCAGCAGCCCTGCTCCATCACGGGGAGAATGCCCCCTGAGCCCCGCTTGGCTGGCTGGTCACAGCCCAGGGCCAGGGTGCCAGATTAAATGTGCCTGCTGGTGCAGTGAGCAAGGACTGAAGAAAAGGAGAGAAGAGGGAGGGGAGGAGAGAACTACCCCCAAGATACAAACCTCACCTGGTCTCTCCTGTTGTGCAGTAACATCGTCGTGCTCTCCTGGGAACTCCAGCCAGCCCTCTTCACCTGGCACAGCGCTCCATGCCAGTAGCCCCAGTGCATCCCAGAGCCACTCCAAACCTGCAATGAATTCATCTAGTTTCAACTCTTCTGGGTAAGGCAACACGGTTCACTCCCTGGTAGTGTCCAGGCATGATGGGAGCATTCAGGGCTTAAATAGCGTACTGCAGGGCTGGAAACTTCAGCAAAACTCAAGCTAAGTGAAGCTATTGTGTTGCAGGGTGGTTTCCTTCTCATTCTGGGAAGTGGCTGTTTACTGCTTCAAAAATCTGCATTTGCTTTGAAATTTCGTGCTAGTAGAAATTCATAGAATCATAGAAAAGTAGGGTTGGAAGGGACATCAGAAGTTCATGTAGTCCAACCCCTTGCTCAAAGCAGGACCAGCCCCAGATATATCACCCAGACAAGGCTTTGTCTAACCAGGTCTTAAAAACCTCCAAGGATGGAGACTCTGCTACCTGTCTGGGTAACTTGTTCCAGTGCTTCACTACCCTCCTAGTGAGCAAGTGTTTCCTAATATCTAACTTAGATGTCCCTTGATGCAACTTGAGCCCATTGCTCCTTGTTCTGTCACCTGCCATCACTGAGAACAGTCCAGCTCCAATGAAGCTGATATGAATTACGTGAATTCAGCATGTAAAAGGATATAGCGTGTAGCCACGACACTTGCTTCTTCCTCCTGGGACAAAGACGCTTTGTTTTGCTGGTTTTCCTGGTTAGACTCCGTCCTTTAATTCCAGCTTCCCCCACCAGAGCCAACCCAGCACACACATGGCAATAATCCTGCAGCAGCAGGTAAAGCAAGGAGGAGGAATAATTTTCCCCTGTCAAATCTAGCCCAGCCTCAGAGATCCCAGAAGCTCTGAGCCAGCCACCCGACACATCCAAAGCTCTAGTTGTTCCTCAGGGGATGTTTCATCTCATGCATACCTGTAGTTCCTCTCTTGCTTCTACCAACCAGCATGGCTCATAGCATCAGTGGTGCCAAGAAACCAAGAAATAAACTAAGAGCAGTTGAGTGTTGCAGCAGCTGCTCTGCTTCCTCGGTTCCAGAGGATCGTGCCCTGATGCAGTCTGGTGACCGAGATTCAGTTCAGGCTGCAAGGAAAAGGGAAAACCAGGTTGTATCTGCATCTGTTATGTTTTCCCTTTGTGCAGATCATGGTACCGATGGAATTAAACTCCTTCCCTCCACTGAGGCTGCTTCTCCATCGCACCGACAAACTACTTACCTCCACTGAGGCTGCTTCTCCATCGCACCGAAGGAGCTTTGAGGCCTGCCTGTGGACTGACTTCTCCAGAAGCAGTGATCTGTGCAAGATTTGGCATTACGGTGCCTTCAAAGTGCAGCCGAACGAAGGTTTCGTTCATGGGAGTCCAGAATTGCTGAACTGTTAAGAGACTTGAACTGTGGCTGAACCTCCCATGGGAACCTGAACACCAGCGGTGAAATGTAACGCACTTCCAGGCATTAATTAAGAAACGGCCCCTTGCTTTGCTCTGTCAGCACCAGCGCTGTCCGCTGCCTGCAAATATCCACAGTAACTTGGTACTGCCGACAGTAGTTCATCAGAATTGCCATATCGTGACCACCCCTCTGCATATTCACTTCAGAGCACTGGGGTCCCCGATGCCAGTCTGCCACACACATACATACACACTCCCCCCAAACCCCTGAACTGAGCCTAGGTTACCAAATTCATTTCACCAAAGCCCTCTGTCTAGATGTGAGCTGTGGTGTCCTCACTGGCACTGTGCTATACCGCCTCATCAATCCCTGTTTGCTCATCAATCCCCCGCTCTGCTAATGTTTTGCTCTGCCTGTTTTGCCCTGTAGAGCCAAGTGCCTCTCTCTCTTTTCCTTTAAAAGAAAAAGCATATATCCCCTTTTAAAGGATGGTGTCCTTGTCACAGCTCAGACCTTATCTCACTGCTCTTTTAGCGACTTGCTTTTAAAAACCACAGGTGAACTCAGGCTCTGAGGCTACTCAGGCTCCTCTACAGCACAGCAGTGCCCTGGCTGTATTTAAGCAAAACCTCCTAATTAATCTGCTTTACAAAGCAATGCTGCAGGTCAGGGATAAACCTCAGGATTAACCCCCTCTGTGCCAGGATGCTGCAGTCCCTTTGCCTAGTGAGTGAGTCTCACTGCAGGCCCATCTCATCCTTCCAGACTGTCGGGTGCCCACGTATCCCATCTCCCTGTAGCCTGTATTGTTCCTGCTTGAACACCTTTACTTAGAAAACAGATGACAGAGGCACGTACTCAGGACAAATTTGCAAGATGGCTCAGTACATTACATTGGCAAGATTGGTCCCTGATCCAGGACCTGACTGGGAGCTGAGACCTTTTGAAGACCTAGCTCTCACCATGAGTGCCCCGGGGCTACAAATTTGGCCATGGGACCCTCATGACCTTGGTAACATGTAGAGGAGAGCTTTCTTGAAGGGCACTGTGCAACAAAACTCTGAATTTTTACTGTAGAAAAGCCCTGGGGATTTATTTATTTTTTTTAAAGGGAAGATTCCTTGCCTCCCATACCTCAGGATGGGTTTTTTGAACATTAAAAATTCAGATTGTCTTCACCCTGCAAGAATGCACAGATATTTGGGAGGAACAGAGAGGAGAACCACCACTGACTGTATGGGAGTGAAACCAGATCACTGCAACGAGTTTAGGGCCAGCCATGGCTATAGTATCTGATTGCAGGCATTATGCAGGCCCGGGAACTTTCTGCATCAAGCCCAGATCTGGTGATTGAGCTAGAAAATATTTTCTATGAAGAGGCCTCCAGGCATCTCTAACAGATGTTGTTTCAGATGCCCCCCCTGGCATCAGGGAGGTGTCCTCAGTCATTCCACTCTAAAACTCTGAAGTATGGGTCCATTTTGCAGAGGTCCCTTCCTACTCAGCCAGTCAGTTCCCTCCGTGTGATTCCCCATTGCCCTGCAGTCTGTGTGCAGTATTTGTGGCAGCAAGTGCAACGCACAACCAGGTTGGCCAGGTGGCATTTACAAGGGCTGCCTAGGGAGTCCCACCCTATGTACATGAGAGTTGTGTCTTCTTGCTCTGATGACAAAAATAACACTGACAACGCCATGCCAGAATGGGACTTCGGTCTGGCTCATGCATCACCAACAGAAACATTCAAGCAGGTTTCCGTTACTGCGCTGCTTTGCAGTGCCACAAAAGATGCAGGGGAATAACTGAGGGCAGAATGACACCCTGTGCATAAAGGGTGAGTTCGATGGAAACCAGCCTGCCCTTCAGATCAGCGGGCTGGGTGCTTACAGCTTGGAGTGACAGCAGATGGGGCAGGCCATCTCCACCTCTGCTTTCAGTGGAGGTGGTCTGGGTGGAAGTGAGAGCACAAGTTGGTTTATATATATATATATATATTTTTTTTTTTTTTTTTTTCCCCCACATCTTTTAACTTGAATGTATTTGATGTTGAACTCAGAGCAGTGGAGCCAACACAGCTCACTAGCATAGCAGGCCACCTGCAGACATCTTTCATGCAGCAGAAGCACAGCGTAGGGAACCAGCTTTACGTTAATCTAATTTGTAGTGTGCAGCTAATCAAACTGCTCATGGACAGAGCCTGGGGCTGTCGCCAGGTTGCTCGCAAACTGAGGAGCTGCTGCGTTAGACTTCACCGTGCGCTGTCATAGTGAAAGAATTCACATGCATTTTAGTGATGGTTTTAGCTTGTTTGAACTCTTCCCTTTCCCTGACTGTTTGTATTAAACAAAGACTGCAAATGCAACCCAAGCTCTGAATGGCTTATGTCTATTGATTCGGGTGCAGCAGAAGTCGAGCAGATTTGAGATGGACTCAAGAAAGCCTGGAGGGGTGGGATGTTAATCAAAATTTGCCAAACACATTCAGTGTCTGTGTGACTCACAGTATAATGAAAGGCAACAGCAAGACTTTCTTGCAGCTGAGGCCAGTTGTCTTACAGGTACTTTTAATCACATAGCCAAAATCAGGTTAATTCAATTGAGGTAACAGCAGTGTTATTAACTGGGTCCTTGCAGTGGCCTTGGCACTGTCCTATTTTTTTCCAGACATGGTCTCTGCTCTTGAGAGAGGGGGAATCGGGGGAGCAAAGCAGCAATGTCTTCCCCAAACTCCTCCCAGAAGCTAAAGGGTGAGATAGGCTGGAAATACTGAGCAATTTTATGGACTTCTGTGGAACACAAAGACCTTCTGTGGAGTTTAGTAGGATGCTCTAGTATCACTTGCTATGCTGGCTGGGTGACCGGGTGCCTTGGCACCTTGACATTGAAAGCATGTGGCCTCACCTGATGCCCTCACAAAGTCATTTGAGGAGAATATTTTGGGGAAAGTGAATTCTGGTTGGAAGGGAAATGCCATTGTAGCAGGAACAAGCAGCAATGAGCTTCCTGTACACCCTATTCCAGCAATAAACAGACACAACTATCACTGAGTTAATGTCCATCTCATTATTCCAAATCTGTTGCATACTTACATTAACCCAGTGGTGAGTAGAGCAGGAGATCAGGTAATAGGCACAGCTAGGGGGGCTTTGTGCTGTCCTCAGCATCTTCAGAAACCATCTAATGTATATTCTCATCCCAGCTCCATCATAACCGGGCGCAGGAGTCTGGGCATGTAGCTGCCTTTGTTAGCAAAGAGGAGCAATACTGAAACACCTGGACTCAAGGAGAGAGTGAACTGATCATAACGGAGCATAAATCTCCTTTCAGTGTCTGCAGGACACATGCTATCTGCTAAGCCCATGTGACTGTGTCTGCCCAAAAGCTGGCACCAGATTAATTAACCCCATTTCAATGGCAAGTTTAGTTAATTTGGTGTGAGTTCTGGGTATGAACAAGATTTTAGGAAAACCCTTCCTATCCCTGGGGAGCCAGGCCTCCCCAGCAATCCCTAGGGCCTGGAAGAGGTGGTGCTGCAGGCGCGTCTGCCTTCAACCCAAGGCCACGTGTGGTTGTGATCCAGCACACGGCAGGGGAGCTTCTGTGCAGATCCCGGGTGGGGAGCAGCCATCGTCTGGGTTCAGAGGTCCCGCCACAGCCGGAGCAAGGCTCTGCCTCCCAAAGCAGGGCAGAGGAGGGGTCCCACAACGGGGGCTGCTAACCTGCCCCTTGCACAGCTCCTGCGCGCCTTCAGACGGCAGAAGTTTGCTGGAGCGGTGAGCAGCCTCCTGGGCACAGCATTGTGCAGCTGTGGGGGGGGCATGGTGGGGTAGAAAGGGGCCTGGATACACCCAGATGTGGGGTGGGGTACAGCTGGGTATAACACAGCCCCATTGCAGCCAGCTGTGGAGTGGGGCAACGCCAAGTATAACAGGGAGCTGCAGTGCAGCTGCCTCTGGGCTGGAGAGAGGGGCTGAATATAACATGTCATCCTGGACCCAGAGGGGGATCTGCTGCATGTTTCTTCCTGTTCTCCCATTCCTTCCCCCCCCACAGGTGGGGGGCACCTGATTTGAGGATGAGCGCTGCACAAGCCGTGGCTGCAAGGACATGACAAGCGAGCGCAGCCGCAGCACGCCTTCAAGAACTGCTGGTTGCAGGACAGCAAGAACGACTGCCAGCTGCTTGGTGACTGTGCCTGGCTCTGGGGGCAGGGGTGGGGAGAGCAGGGCCCAGGATGCAGCCAGCTCCCCACATCTGCTAAAATATGGCAGAAAGCTACATATAGTAGCATCTCCAGCTAGCATTTTACATTTACATTTTACACCTTAAACGTATGACTTTACTTTTAACCTGTCCATAGAAACTTTTCTGTTCAGCCTGTTTTGCACAAACTAATTGTGCACCTTTGGGCCAAAGCTTGTAACGGTATGTGCAAGTAACAGATTCTGCATTCAGGAATGCAAATGCTTTACAGGCAAGTGTAAGGTCACATGTTCAGCTCAGACATCACTGAAATTTGCTGTACCCAGCAGAGAAGAGTGAGGTGGTTATAGACTTTAACAGCTTCTGTTGGACACTTGGACTAAATCCTTATACAAGTACATGTATTTGTTATATAATGCATAACTTTTGTCACTTTTTTCCTACTTAAAATAAGAAAATATTTGTCTATCTGCTTTATATTTTAGTGGGTACGATGTAGAGGCAGACTTATCTCTCACAAACGTTAGGTCAGAAAGAAGTGGAGGAAGAGGAGGGGAAAGGAAGCATCAACAGAGTTGAGTGAACTTTACTCTTCCTTGGTTTGCATCCTGT